GATGAGTCTATCTCTTTTTATTGAAGAGATACAATTCTGACAAAAGTTGCAGGTTTTCACAAGAGAACGGATTGATCCTAAGAAATTTTCAAATGTCTCTCCTTCCTTCTGTTTTCTGAGATTGAAGACGTATCTCGAATATGTCTCATTAAGTTCACCAATAGTAAATGCTTCGAATTTGTCTAGAATTTCTTTGACAGTTCTCTCAGCTTCTGGTGTTTGAAAATGGAATCCATTAAAAACTTTTAAGGCTTCATCACCAAGTGTGTTTAGGAGCAAAGCTACTTGATATTCCCTTAATTTGTCCATTTCTGCTTGAATGTTTTCCAATTTTCAGCAATGTTGGATTCACTAACAAGAGGTGATGGATGTTTGATACCACTAACAGGCCGTTGAACTTGAGGAGGATTGTCGGCCATATTTGAAGACTTCACAGACAATACACACTTGTAGCTAATTGACATCGACAAATGCAGACAGGAATCTCTCGAGTGTGCAGAATGTCACTTATCAGGTCAAATTAAGCTAATAGATTCAAGTGTTCATTCATTTCAGCGAGTGACATCACTGCTGAGACATTTGAATGATAGCAGACGAACTCACGTGGTCTGAAATACCTCGGCTTGCACATAGCATTTCAGACATAAAACTGACATAAATAGGTCGTGGTATCATTGAGGAGTGAGAAAGTCACCTGCTGCCACCATGTTACGTGCTGTGTATGCTGTACACATGTCTGGATAGTCATAGCCAACTCAGATTAAAGCATCAGCGTTTATTAGAACTTGCATGGTTGACATATGACAAGGGAAGCAACTCTTTGTAAGTTGATTTCATATTTAAGTTATGATATAGTATCTTTGTATATTTAATATGTATGTTACACTCCTGGAATAACAAATGGTCAGTCTATTTAACTGCTTCATACTATAACTCAGCTGGTCAACTTGAAGTCGCTCTATGCGATGTAACATATTACCCGCGGTGGACCAATATAAGTGCTGCAAGAAGAAATAATTGGTTTTTAATAGGTGAATTAGGTATTGATCACACTCTCATTGTTATACCTGATGGGTATTACAGCGTATGCTCACTCAATGATGAATTTTTTAAGCCTTTGGGAGTTAGTCTCACACAAAATGAGACGAATGGGATGCTGATTTTAAACTCTTGGAGAAAAGAGTTTAATGCTTAACCCGGACGTAGCAGATACACTTGGACTTGTAAACTCCGGAGGAGGAATATTGACAATAATAAATCCTGCAAGGAACTATATTACCCGATTTAGTTCCCTATAAGGAGTTGTGCATCCATCTTGATTAAATCACTACAACGGATAATATTCAACTAGAAAGTCCTTCAACTCTACTGAGAGCTGTTCCAGTCAAAGATGAAAAATATAATAGCGGTAGAACGGAATCGTTCTCATCATTACAATATAAAAAATTAAAGCAGGGTATTATTTCAGACCTCAAAATATCTGTATTAGATGTAAAACATCAACCTGTACCTATAGGATACTTGAGTGTAACACTCCATATTATAAATAATGGTTGATTCATCAGGCCCTGGAACACTCAGACAATGTAATACAATTGCGCTTTCCGACCTCGGAGACACAGAAGGATTCGGTAAACCTGGTATTGATGGTAAGTTATACACTTTACACTTACAAGATAATGTATACAAGCGGAAAGAAGTTACATTCACAGGTAATCTAGGAGATTTAAGCGATGTCGACGTTAGTGGACTGAATAAAAACACTTTATACAATCTTACTCGCAACGATGATAATAAATAATAAATGACCATGATTGAAAAAAATATCGAGTGGCTATTGAATATCGTCATTACCCCACCATATGTGATGATGGGTAAGGGTCATCATTTAACTAAGATAATAAATAGTGGGAGTGTACTCGGGGCTTATATCCCCTCAAAACGAAAAAGTGTGTTAGTCTCTCCCCTGCCAGAAAACCCAGGTCATATGTTATTGAGTCGTCCGGCAGTAAAAAATGTTAGTTTAAATTTGGTTACTGAATTCAATGATATTAAAGATAACTTGAGTGCAATACCTAATCTTTCTACGCTTATTATTGAAGTCTTGTTTGGAGATGCACCAGAGGATGCCTTCAAAATATTACCAGGTCTATCAATTAAATGGCTAAAGAAACACCAACGTCAACGTTGCAGTATTATATAATGGAGCACCACCCGTTGCAACCCTTGAGGGGGTCCAAATTATAAAAAGTGATAGCATTTCTCTTACTAAGATATTTATGTAGTATAATATACATTTAATAAGGTTGATGTATACTCGCAAAAACATTGAAGCAAGACCAATTAAAAACTATTATATGATATGATAATATTCATTATGGGTTTATATCCGGTGCTCGATGAAGCATCTGAAAAGATGGATACTGTTGATGGATTTCGATTACATCAAATAAGCGACATAAAACATCGAATAGAGAAGGAGAGGGAGTTAAAACTTGGATGATATAAAAAGTATTGCAGAACTGTGAATGCTCTTGACGGAGTTGACACTGCGCTTGTAACGGCTGGCATGGGACTCGGTGTAGCCGGTGTTGGTTTATTATCGTAGCGGCGCCTATCGTACTTGGCGTGGAAATAGCTGCCGGAGTCTCAGGACTGGCAGGAATAGCAATAAATTTCATTTCTCGTAAGTTGCAAAAGAAAGCATTAAAACATGATAATATTCGGATACTCGCCGAAGCAAAGTTGAACAGCACTGAGGACCATATTTCAACAGCAATGGCTGATTGTAAGATATCTGAGGAGGAGTTTTGTTTAGTTTTGTCAGAACTCACCAAATACAACGTAATGAAACAGGAGATTCGATCAAATTCTCGTAAGACCAGTGGTATTAGCGAAGACGAGAAAAAAAAGTTCATAGAAAAGGGGAGACAACAAGCGCGTCAATTATTCCATGACAAAACCAAAGAACTTGTTGGAGATTAAAAATAGATTGCTTCCTATCGTTGGATCACACTTAAACGAATGCTTACATAAGTATATAATAATGGAGAATTACAAACCAACAAAGGAAGAACTCGAAAAAGCTATCGAAGCATTTATGCTCAGGGACAAAATTATCAAATGGAGAGAATTACCACAGGGTATATATTATATCAATGATGTCAAACCAACCAAATACGGTCATCAATTGTTTCTTTCCAATTACCAAGAAGAGTATATAGTCTGGTCTCCTAGTAAAATGAACGAAGAACTTAGTAAAAATGTTGAAAATCACTTTGTTAAAAATAATGGTATACGTATGAGTAAAAATAATAGAGAATATTTTCATTACAATTTAGTTTAGGCTCATCATCGTTTTTGTACTAAAAATTCCCTCTATGGTATCATTGATTGGCTCCAGGTAGTGGTGAGCTAGAGCCAATTTAACTTTATCTCATGACGATTGTTGAATTGCATCATCGTTTTGACATGAAAAATTCCATCTGAAGTAGTGGTATAGGTATTTAAATCTGGCTCCAGAGGAAGTGAGCCAGAATCACCATTACCTATTGACCATGATCAACAACATGGTGGCAGGAGTGTCATGGCGTGGGGTGGTATCACAAATGACAGTGATGTGGTTATTATCCCCCACCACGAAGTGGAGGGGTGTGTATAGGAATGGAGTCTGTCCATCCGTCCCTCCTGCTCGTCCGCTTCTTAATGTGGACAAATTTTCACAAAAACTATTCAGTTGAGAAATTTTTTTTACGCACTGATGTTACTGGTCATGGTCTCAAATGAGTTTGAAAATTGCTGCTGTACATTCATTTGTAACAGAGTTTTGGCCCTTGCTCCATATTTTCAACTTAGTGCACACTGTGAGAAATTGTGGACAAACTTTCTCAGCAACTACTGAAATAACATGAATGAAAGTTTACATGCTTATATGTTTGATGCGAGTTCAAAAATTGGTGCTGTAAATTATTTTTTTGCAGAGTTATGGCCCTTGCTCCTCACTTCTCATCTAAGTGCATACTGTCTGCAATGGGTACAAGTTTTCACAGGAACTACTGAAGTTACTTGAATGAAAGTTTGTATGCTTATCTAAGAAATACTTGTCAAGACGAGTTCGAAAATTGGAGTTATGGCCCTTTAATCCATGTTTTTTTACTTGGTGCATAGTGTGTGCAATGAGAACATGTTTTCTCAGTAGTAACTACTCAAGTTAGCTTATCTGAGAGATACTTAGAGTTAGACATTTGTGTGTATTAATTTCAGATTTAATCAATTTTTCTGATGACTTGAAGCTGCCCAAGTGGCTATCTTTATAAGGCTTTCTATAGTTATATTTACTACTATGTGAACAAACAAAATTTTAATGTGCACAATTGCGGGGGATAGTGATAACGCTCTTATCACTTGTTGTGAATGGAAATTTGACTGGGCAGCGGTATTTTCATGAAAGTTTGCGTTATGTGGTTTCTCCGTTTGCAAGAATTATTGGTAGGAATATTGAGCTGCATGCTCACGATGCTAGACCACATCCTACCCATCACTCATTATCTCCGGTGACAAAGTGTATAGACATAGGACTGGCCCGCTAAATCCTCTGACATTTCCCCAAGTTAAGGATAAGTACGCAAATGGAAACAATTTTCCACTTTATTGAAAGTAAGAGATAGATATCAACCATATTTGGTTGTAAGCATTTTCTGGTGGTGAGGATTCAAAATTGTGCAAATGGAGGATGCCCCCCTAAGGGGCTGAGGGGCGGAGCCAAATAGGGGTAATTTGGCTATATTTGCCATCCACCCATCTTTAGTGCTGACAGAGTAAAAATTACAATTTTTTTGCAGTATTATATACATGTACAATGCAAATGTATATTTTGTCATGATTGCGTAAATATCCAGGTGAGCGATACAGGCCCTATGAGCCTCTTGTTATGTATATGCTATAGCACTCTTATTAACTGCCACTCGCTTAATGTGATTGTATAACTTAATATTTTTCAGGATGTTATCCACAACGAAGATATAAAGCTGGACTGGGATTTCAAGTTGTCGCTGCTTTCTGATTTAGTCCGAGTGAGTTAATTTTTGTTATTTGTACCAGTCGCGCCTCCTCCATGTTCTCTTCAAACACCACAGGACCACTGAAAATGAACTTGTCAGGAATGCGTTGTCTTATTGTAACATAATAGTTTGTTCAAATTTTGGTGATTTCAGTGTTAGTTTTTGGTCCTCAGTACTTGTCACACCGTGATATAACTGGAATACTGACAGCAAAGTTTGTTAAGTGGCTGTCTTTGTTGACATTTTTTAACCAGGTGGAGTACAGTGCCAGGGCACTATTTTTTTTAAAGAAACAGGGTTCAAGTTTTGTTTGGCGTTAGAAATGTTTTGTTCAGCAAGTTTGTGCAAAGATCACCACACTGGTCAGGTGTGTTATCTCATTGATAAGTGCCCTTGGTGGCATGAGTTGTTCCTCAGAAGCTTCAACGTGCATAAACATGAGGAGCTGCCAGTGTAGGACAATCTAACATATATTGTTAAAATTATACAAAGGCATTCAGATCATTAATCCTGTGGAGGTTTCAGTATTTGTTGAATTGTTTTCACTTAATCCGGTACATAACACGTTTTCAACATACCTAAATGTCAAATTTATCTTCATTTATAATTCCACATAAATCACTGTCAATGGAACATGAGTACAAATGAAAGAACTTATCTGGTAATGTACAGCAAGATGACAATGTATAATTTGAATTGGTGTTCTTTATATACTTTATTATGTCAGAACAAATGTTAATGTGTATATGTTGGTGCAGCAGCTACATTCTTATCAGCACTCCCATTCAAGTCAGTATCAATATATATAAGATCTGTATTACATTGGCAGTTTAGCTATTTTTATTTTATTCACTTGTCAATACTTACTACCAGTTATTCAATTCTGCAGGTTCCCAATGTTTTTGTGCTATTGATAACTTTCAAGGATTCATCTCTGGAGCAGGCGATTGGTTTGCCAATGCTATTTTTAATCTGTCGGAAGTAGGCATGCACAGTCCGTGTTTTTCCATGTATATTAAAGCCAAATCACATGACCAGTTCCTTCCTCTGTTTATCTTATGCATGGATTTTAACTCTATCGATGTGATTTTCAATCTTGCACCATTGTCTTTATCGATCATGAACAAGGTTTCGCAAGTTAGCTTCAGAAGCAATATGCTGAAAAAACGGGTTCCTACATCTTCTAGCTCTAACACCCCACCAGTTGTACAAGGACGTAAAGAGCTTCCGCAAACAAGGCATGTGAATGCCTTTCCTTATTTCACGGCCAGAGACATCAGGAGTAAATTGCAGGTCTTAGGCGTAAAGTTCCGACTTCCTGGAGCAGAAAGATGCTGTGTCAGTTATGCGCTTTTGCCCCACAGACAACGAAATCCAAGATCCCGTCCCACTTCGACTGTGACGTCATCAGAATCTTATCCGTTAGACTCCACTGCCGGGATGCCACGACCTCGAGAAAGACTTTCTGTACTGAATCTGAATGACTTAAACAATAGATCGCGTGAGGACAATGTCCTTGTGCCTGCAAATGAAGTGAACTTTGTTGACGACATTGCTACCACCTCAGACACGGAGGACATGCACAGGGAGGTCCTTCCGCTTTCGCCCACTTCAGTGGATGTTGCAAACATTTTGAAAGAATTGCAAGAACTGAAAGCTTTAATTCTCAACTTCGCAAGTCGACAAACAGAGAACGCAACACCTGGCCTAGACCAGAGCTCAACGACTATTCCATCGTCTCTACCACTGCTGTGTCATCAAATACCTTGCCACATATCGACACTGTAGCCCCAGACTAGTGACCAAAATCCAACAAGGTAAATATGTCAATTTGGCCCTTCTTCTCAGGCCCAATCAGGAGAACTACAAACGCCTGATTTCATTGGGGAATCTCTCCAATTGAAAGAAGATCACTGTCTGAACAACACTTACTCTGCCAGAGTTCCTGGAGGCCTTCAGTATATATAAAAGAATTTTTTATGCTTCTAACCCTGACAGAACAGCTTACCTTGACAGCCATTAGGTATATCAGTGAAATGGGGTGATAGAGATCTCGATATCGGGGGCCTGGTGATGTAATGTTTAAGGCAGAGCTTGTGCAATTTGCCACAGTGTGACCCACTCAACCGAACATGTGTCCTCGCTTAGCCAGCCGCCCCTAACTGTTTACCCACAAAGTATCCAGAGCTTCTACGAGCAAGTGATAAAAGCGACACCCACCACAGACGTTAGAGGTAGAAACAGAGGTTGGATGGGAAGGAGGTTTGCAACAATTTCAATCAAGAGGGCCGTGTTCGGACTACTTGTTTCTATTCTTATATATGTCTCCATTGCAAAGATAAACATCATGGTCAACAAGATTGCCCAAAGCTACGCCAAAATGAGAACACTCGGAAGTTTCAGTGAGATCATCTTTGAATGTGACAGAAATGAGCACAGAACTTATTACCCATCCTGATGACACTTTTGTAGACTACCTTCTCAATGGACCCGTCCCAGTGACTTCCGTGGAATGGTCTAATAATTTAAGTGCCAGGAAATATCCCGAGGCCGTCACAAGTTTGATTCAAACAGAACTTGACGTGCTATTTTATAGGACCTTACGAGCACCCGCCCTTCAGTCCCTATGGAGTAAGCCCTCTTGGGGTGGCCTTCGGTAAATACAGCCCCAAAAAAAGACTAATACTGGACTTGTCAATGTATTTTGACAACATTCCCAGTATCAATGAACTTGTTGACAAGAAGATTTGTTCTCTGAGTTATGTGACTATTGATGAGGCCATCACAAGGATAAAGCTAGTTGGCCAAGGGGGCATGGATATGTAAAGTCGACATCACCGATGCGTTTAAACAAGTTCGACTCCACCCTGAATTTTGGAAGTATTTGGGTTTTTTGCTGGCAGAGAAAATACTACTTTTATAAAAGGTTGGCATTCGGGTGTCATTCAGTCGCGGTAGAACTGTGGGCCAGTAGTTGGTCGACAAAACGTATCCTGTTTCTTTGCAATAATCAACCTACAGTGCATGTGATCAAAAAGGGTCGCTCCAAAAGTCCACAACTCATGTTGCTCTTGCATACTATTACCTGGTATTCATCTATCAGTAACTTCATAGAGCTAAGCATGTGCCAGGAAAAGTTAATGATATTGCCAATGCCGTGTCTCGTTTTCAGATGCAGACATTCCACTCGCTGGCACCAGGAACAGTCACAACTGATGAAGTGTTCTCTCAGCTCTCAAGTAATGTTGTCCTGAGCGAGAGTCTTCACCGACTTTGGAAAGCAGCTATTGGACAACGTACACGCAATTCTTATGCCACAGGCTTCCTTTGTTACGTATGTTTTCTCTCTACATTTGGACTGTTACTGGGACAAGTACTGAATTTTCCCCCCATCAACGAAGGACTGTTGCAATATTTCCTGGCATATTGATCTGGCTCCATGAAAATGACTTGCATCACTGTGAAGAGTTATATTGACGGGATCAGATTTACATTTTTAGAGGTAGGAATGCACACATTATTTGACTTGGTACACCTTGAAGCCAGGTGAAGCCAAACAATTGCCTTTCACGTACCCGATCCTGTGCAAAATCATCAACGTCTGTAGATCTGGAGTTCTAGGTCCAAACAACGACCTGGTTATGGAAATGATGTGTGTCGTAGCATTCTTTTGGTTATCAGGTGCGGCGAGTTCACTTGTGACCACACCTTCAATCCTGCAGTTAATTTGTGTGTGCAAGATCTTATCATAGACAATGTGTGACAGTGTTATAGTTTGAACTTGAAAGTTTCTAAATCTGATCCCATTTGACAGGGAGTGAACATTTCTCTATATGCTACTTCTAACGAAGCTTGCCCCTTCTAGCTCTCAAGCGGCTGCTCACCTTCAGAGTTCCATGTGGAGCTTCTAGTAATGACCAGCAAGTCATTGACATCGGCTACCATCCCATCACAAGAGTAACTTTCTTAACCTGGCTAAACACAATTCTGTGTCGAGCCGGACTATGTCCAGACAAATTTTCAGGTCACTCCTTTAGAATTGGTGCAGCTATGTCTGCAGCCCAAGCCCGCATGGAAGATGACCTTATCAAGACCTTTGGTCGCTGGAAGTCCTGTTTCACGGGATACATTCGAACCCCAGAGGTTACTATTCAACAGGCTCAACAGTCATTGTGCACTTCTATGTATTTACAAATAGTACTGTGTTTCCACGTGTTAGTCGCTACTTGATATACTTATGTATCAACTTGTGTTAGTTGTGTCCATACTACCACTCATCTTCATCTTAGTGTATGAATTCAACCATGCAGTAGTTCTGCTTTGAATGGTGGTTTCAGTGGCAATGTGGTACCTATACTTGTGTGGTACCTGGAGGATCCATGTTCTTCCGTCCATTCACTCCCTCGGGACTCTAGGCAATATCACGCTAACGTTCCATGGATTGGACGGGAGGAACTTGACTTGTGGCTGCCTTCTGGTAAGCCTCTGGCAGTGCGCTAACAGCGTACACACACAATCAGTACAGTGTGGAAGCGTCATATCAACTTAAGGACTGTATCGTGCTACACGTGATGCCAGACTGTTGGTATTGTGTGATAAGACTGTATCATGCTTCATGTGATGCATGAAACTGGTGGTGGTTTCACAAGAAGGAGACTGTGACATGCCACACATAATGCATAAGTGTTAATTTGTGTTAGACTGGCTATGCTTGACATTATGGTATTGTGTTATGGACTGTATACCATTGTGATGGAGGAGTAGTTTCTCTGAGAGTGTACTGTGTTACAAGAGAAACACAGGTGTGGTGAAACTCTTATGCATAAATGACAGAGAGAGTATCATGTGATAAGACTGCTTGGTGCTCTATGCGATGCACAACACCTTGACGTGTTGTAACGATTATTGTGCGGCAAGCAATGCCGGACACTAGGATATTGTAACAAGACTGTAAGGTTAGACTTGTGCTTCATGTAAGGCACATCTTGCAGTACTTGATGGGCCAATACTGC